AGTGATCTCGGGAGCCCTGCTGCGCGTTGCTGGCTTCTGGGGTCGTCGTCGTCGTCGTCGTCGCCGTCGTCGTCGTCGACGTCGCCGTCGTCGTCGTCGTCGTCGCCGTCGTCGTCGTCGTCATCGTGGTCCGCGGGGTGGCGTCTCGCCAACGCCGGACAATTGACGCCACGTCTGTGGTCGAGGTCGCCGAGAGCCTCAGCATTGTCTTGAGAAGTCCTCGGGGGTTTCTCGGGCTTCCCCGTCCGGCCGCACGCTGTGCTTTGCCCAGAGGTCCGTGCGAGCGCACTGCGCCACGGAGAGCGGCCAGGCAATAATCCTCCTCATCCCTAAGTCTTGGTTCTGCGGAAGAAGATTCACACAGGCCGCGGTCATCCCATTCGGGGATTCGGCGATTCGTTGACTTACGGCTGCTCCGCTCCCTCGCTCACCGCCCGAGCCCGAGGCGGAATAGCAAGTTTCGGCCGTGGCTCCAGGGGGAGCTACCTGCGTGGTTCATCTGCTTGTCTGCGATTTTTCAGGGGGAGGGGCACGGTCGCGGGCGTGCATCGTGGCTCGCCCTGCTCTCGCCGGCGCAGCCGGCTCTCCCGCCCGCCCTCCCTGGGGTGGTCAATGCACTGGCTGGCCAGGGCCTTGAATGGTCCTCGGGGGACTCTCGGGCTTCCCCGTCCGGCCGCACGCTACGTTTTGCCCAGAGGTCCGTGCGATCGCACTGGACCACCCCACGGGGAGCGGCCAGGCAAGAATCTTCTTGGGGCCTCTAGGCCTCTAGGCCTTCCTGGGTGCCTCTTGGACTATCCCAAGCCGCTCATGGTCGGTCTGACGCCCTGGAAAGCAACCTTGCGGGACTCTCTGGGCCGTCCGGGACTCTCTTGGGGACCTCTTCAAAGGCTCTTGGGCGTTGTTGGGGCCGTCTTGGGACTCTCTGGGGCTCATCTTGGGGCTCTCCGAAGCCAATGGGGCAAATTCAAGAGGCCCGAGACGCCATTCCGCAACGAACAAGGGAGATCTTCAACAACTCGGAATTGTGTCTAAATCTTGTCAGGTTCTTGGCCGCCTGTGGACCGTGGAAGCCGCTTTAGGGCCTCTGGAGGGCGTCTTAGGCCGTCTCAGACGCGTCTTAGGGGGCCTCGCTGGGGGTCTCGGGTACCGTCTTGGGGCCGTCCGAACCGTTCGGCGGCGCGGGGCCTTTTAGACGCTGTCTTGGCGAGGTCTTGGGGTGCCCGGGAGCTCTGGGCCGGCCATGGAGAGGCGTGGCACCTGCCCTGGGACGCTAGGCCGCGCTCACCATTATACATGTGTATATATATACACACATACACATGTACATGTGCATCTACACATACAACATCTGTATGTGGAGTTGTTGCCGGCACTCCATCCCCACTGGCTCCTGTCATAACGCATCATGCCTCTCTCACTCTCTCTCTCTCTCTCTACCCGCCCGCTCCTCCTCCGGCAGAAGCCGGCAGTGCGCTTCAGAGGCGCTTCTTGGCGGACAGCGCGCGGATCAAGCCCCGTGACGATGGCAACGATGATGCTCCCAATGTCACCGGCACGATCGCAAAACCTTCCATAGCACAGGATCCGGGCACGTCGTGTTTGCACAGCGTGGGCCCCCAGGAGGTCTGGGCCCATTCCCCGGGACAGGCTTTTCATCCTGACCCGTTGATGGTGGTCGCGGGGCCCAGCGAGCGCACCAAGAGGCTAAACATAGTAAAAACCGTCCGTCATGCGCTGTTCACATCGCGAGGGGGTCTTGGAAGTGTCCCCTCAGTCTGCGTGGTTTGTCTTCGTGTCTGCCTGAGAGAGGCGGGAGTGGGAACAAGGGACGTCTCGAAGGTCACACACTGGGCGGAACCTGAAAAACAACGGGCGAGCCATTCCCATTTTGCCGCGTTTTCCGACGCTGAGCTCCGAGCTAACAGCAACCAGAGATACAGGAGAAGGTCAAAACCGAGTGATGCCTTAAGATCAGGTGTCGCCAAGGCGCTGAACCCTGCAGACGACGATGACCCACCTAATTACGGAGTGAGGGCTGGCCAGGGGGACCACAGGTCCTGATACACAGCCAAAGGGGAAGAACAAGCGACGGCGTCCGAGGATGATGAGAAGAAACGCAGAGCGCAACAGTATCAGCAAACGGTGGCGCAGCTTGAGTCAGTCCATCATCCAGAAGCTCGAAGAGTTGGAGGCTGACGAGAATGAGATCAGCACGTGGCGCCGCAAGGCGGGTGTATCTCCGAGAGCGCCTCGAGATGCGCCGTCGACTTCAGGCTGCTGAGTGAGCCCTCCTCCGACGTTGACGGGGGCAGAGCGGCCGAATGGCAGCGTTGTTTGGAGATGCATGGAGCTGCCCATCTGAGCTGCACGGGCCGGAACCTCGCCCCCGTGCAACAGTCCTGCAACAATTGGCTGCGCGCACACGGAGAGAGACGAGGCGGGTGGTCTTCTCACAAGGCGGCGCGCTTCTTCGAAGGCCAGACCAGAGCCTTCTTAGAAGGCCCCGGAGGCTTCTAATCTAAGAAGGCTCCGGGGCTTTCTTAGAAGCTCCCCCACCCTCTTAGAAGGCCGCCCCCCTCGGGCTCCCCCCTAGCGCGCGCCGCCAGAAACCCTCCTCCACCTCCTCTTCCTCCTCCTCCTCCTCCTCTTCCTCCTCCTCCTCCTTTTTCCAGTCCTCCTCGGCCTCCTCCTACTCCTCCTCCTCCTCCTCCCTCCCTCCTCCTTCTTCCTGGAAGAGGGGTAAGAGGAGAAGCAGCAGGAGGGCGACGAGGTCGATGCCGATGCCGACGACGACCACGGCGGCGGCGACGACGACAACGATGGCGACGACAAAGCTGAAACCACTGCGACAGCGCTAGGGACCAGAAGGCTGCGCGTCTTCTCTGCGACACCTCAGAACATACCACCTGAAGGTTCTGAGGCCCGAACATGGCCCCCAGAAGCACAATTCTTTGACGATGCCTCGATCGTTCGATCCTCGATCCCAGATATCCGACGTGCTGCTTTGTTTTGTTTCAATGCGCGTTCCCCTGAACTCCTCAGGGCCAGTTTCTCAGCCCGAGCGGTCTCTTGGGTGCCTTTTGGCCCAGCGAGGGTCCCTGGAGGCTGCAAGCGGCGAAAAGCCGTTGTATGGTTTATATTCCAATTCCCAGAGACGCGCCCGACCCCAGCGCACGGCAACTATCTTTATGACAGGCCCATACAAAAAAAAACGACACATTGCGAGAGATGCAGCTGAGATTCTTCGCCTAGCAATGTCGGGCCACGCGCGTCGCACACCTGCGCAGGAATGGGCCACTGAGGACAGCGCCACGCACTACGTCACGTTCCGGTACACTGCGCACTGTGACGCAACAGCGCCGCGCGCTAAATCACGCGACGGAGCCACGCGCCAAGTGGACACGCGCCATCTGGGTGCCCTGCGCTCCGCAGTGCCTCCCAGGAGCCCGCTGAAATGGCGACGCTTGCGCAGATCGCCGCCCCCGAGGGAGCCGCGAGGTCTCAGATGGGTCTGCGCTGCCCTGCACATCGGCCGTGCCTCCTAGGAGCCCACGAAAGTGGAGACAACTGCCCAGTTCGCGGCCACCCAGCAAGGAAGGTACGAGGAAGAGAAGCAAGGAGGCAGGAGGCCGGATGAAGGGGGGAGGAGGAACAGGAGGGAGACGCGCGAGCGGCGCTCTGTTCAAACCAGGAACCCAACACGGGAGGGTGGAGACAAAACAAAACACCCCCAAAAGAGGTCTGGCGTTAATTAGGGCAATGGCAAGGGATCTGGCTGCCACCCGGGATGATTCGGGCACCCCCAGATTACCTCCAACGAGGCACAGCTGCAACAAAGTATCCTGGACCTCCAACAATCGACGACCAACTGCGAACAACTCCAGGACTTGCTTCCAGCAGAGTGAGTCGAACGGTAAACAAACTCCGTGTTGCTTCTTGACAATACGCTGGAGGTCTGGGGTCCGCTCCATCCTCGATGAGGGGTGGAGATAAAGGGGGACTGCCTCGGGTGGGAAAACTGACTTGGCACCGGCGATGCATTGCCGATAGATCGGCGATGGGACCTCGACAGCGAAATCGCACGCTCCCTGGCGGGAGAAGGGGGCCCAGGCCCCGATTTCGGACGAATGGCCGATTGGGAGTCAATGTTTCCCTCCTCGGCCAGTCCCACTCTGTCGCGGGGGAGGACAGATACGCTGGTGCCGCTCCCCAGGCTTCTCTCTGGGCGCGCTCTGGCTAGGAGTTCGATCAGAAAATCCAGCCATGGCGGCGAGGGACGGGCAGCGGCACCCACCCTGTTGCAGAAGTCCGCCGAAGCGTGAATTAGGAAGGCGCTGAAATGGGAGTCAACCCGCATAGTAAGGACGCACGATAAGGATGCAGGGGCCAAGGAAGGCCCTTTCGAAGCTTTTCGAGCGGGGTGCGGACAGCGAAAGAGGCGAAGGCTAGGCCGAAGTGGCAAGGCTGCAAGGGTACCCTTGGGGAGGCTGCCTATCCTTATGATGCGCGTTGACTGTAGACTGGGTCTCGTGCGCCCGCTACAGAGAAAGGAAGAAAGAAACCCGCACGACGCGTGAAGCAGGCAGGCGTCTGAAGTAGACTAGAACCTAGGGGCTCCAAATGTTCGTGCTTCCAGCAACCGGTGGGTATCTAGAGGCCTCCTATAGATGGCGTCCGAGTAGATGAGATCGGAGGATCACGCCGCATTGCCAATGCATCAACGATGCATCGGCGATGCATCGGCGACGTCGGCGACGTATCCGCGACGTTGGCGAAGGCAAAATCGGGCCCCATGTCGAGCCGCATCGCCGATGCATAAGCGATGCTGCACGATCCTCCGCCCCCATCTACTCGGACCCCATCTGGGAGGCCTGAGGAGTACCGGCATCCGTTCCGGCCCTGACGCCGTTGCCCCCATGACTCGATCGACCCTCGAAGCGCAAGAAGAGGCCCCGGCGGGAGCAGCGGACAGCGCCCGGCGGTCGGGGCGGGCTCGCCTTGTTGTCGTGGGGCGACCATGGCGTGTCGAAGGCGTTGACGGCCCCGGGGGGGGGGGGGGGGCGGGCGGCGTCGGGGCCGAGGCGCTCGGAGGGTGGGCTGGTCGAAACAACGGCGGCCCTCCCTGGCGTCTGCCTCCTCACGAAAGCACCCCACCAGCAGCTGACATCCATCCGCTTCTCCCCATATCCAAGTTGCGCTCTGGAGGGGGGAGGGCCAGAGTATTAGGGGCTGTTCCGCGAAGCCGAAGCGCCATGGGGGGGGACCCTTTGACATGCGGGCGTGGGGGCGGCCAGGTCATCTTGGCGCGCATGGATGTTCACCATCACCGTTGCCGCCATCAGAATCATCATGTTCATCATCTTCATCGCCACCATCGTCACCATTGTCTCTGCGGGTGGTGGCATCGCCATCACCATCAACACCATTGCTGCCCCTGCAACCATCATTACCATAAAACTCAATACTTGCCTTAATCATCTTCCTGGCCGCCGCCACCGTGAATGTCAGTCTGGATTCGGCTGTCAAGGGGGGCCAGAATATTAGGATCCCCCCGCCGAAGGAGGAAGAGGAATTAAGAAAAAGCACCGCATGCGGGGGGCTCTTTAATACCGTGTCTGACGCCCGCCGCCACTTGTTCCACTTTTTGTTGTACCGTCCCCGCGAAGCCTGGCGGCAGAAGCCAACACCCGCCGAAACGAAATTCCACGGTTCTCCATGGCGTATTTTACATCCCTTTTTGCGTGTGCCTCCTGGAGGCTTCTCGTCGCCACTGTTGGACCCGCCTTGGAACACAAGTCAGGGTCCGCAGGGGCGGTCTTGACGGATTCGGGCCGTGACGGAGAGCCCGCGTTGTCTCAACTGGCCCTCCTCCGAAGGGTGGGGCCCCCTTCCGAGCCCGTTCGCCGGACCCCCTCTCACCGCGAAGCAAGAGCAGCAACGGAAAAAGGGGGGGGGCCTTTTCGCACTCCCGTGCGCATCACCGGGCCCCAGGACCGTCAAAGAAAGACTCGGGATGAAGAGCTTGTCCCGGGGAGAGGGGTCCAGACTGGAGAACGTGGCTGGGGGAGGGGGGGGCGGGGACCCAATGCCCCAAAATAGCACGACGTCGGGGGTTTGCTGGTGTCTGAGCCCGTATGAAGGGGCCGAGGGACACACACACGCACACACACAGCATGATTTCCCATTTCCTCATGAGTTGGGGTTTTCGTCTTCCCCCCACTTCCCCTATTATCCTCTATTTTCCTGGGGATCGACGATTCATTGTGTCTGTGTGGTTTCTTTTTCCTGGCAACCGCCGAACGGGCTGGCAAGATCAAGCCTTCGGCCGGCCGGGCGGTCTCAGGGCCTACAGCCCTGTCGGAGCTGAGGCCGGTCGGCTGCCTAGACGGCGGCCGAGCAGTCCCACACGCCGAGAGGGCTCAAGAGGAACCCCTGGGGTGAGGCAGGCTCCTCCTCCTCCTCCTTTCCTCCTCCTCCTTTCCTCCTCCTCCTGCTCCTTCTCGGGGGCGGTCCCGCAAGGGAGGAGGAACGTGCCAGGGGAACGCGTCTCCGAGACCAGCACCCCTCTCTTCCACGGACCTCCTCCTCGTCCCCCTCAGAATGGGGATTGGCCAGACCGTACCCAAAGCTGACTCTGTCGACACAGCGCTAACACTGGGGGGGACCTCAAAAAGGAGAAGGATGGGAGAGGAGGACGAGGAGGAGAAGGAGGAGGAGGAGGACGAGGAGGAGGAGGAGGAGGAAGAGGAGGAGGAGAAGAGGGCGGAGGAAAATGAGGAAGAAGTGGAAAGAGAACGAGGAGGAGGAGGAGGAGGAGGAGGAGGAGGAGGAGGAGGAAGACTTACAAGGGAATAGAGGCAATGCCCGATATTCGAAACACGCGGTAAGGTGGAGCCGGGTCCTCAAATACAGACGGCACGACACATGAGACGGCGGCGGTGAGATGCTAAAGGAGGAGGGGTTCAAGTAGGAACAGAGATGGTGATGAGACAGAAGAGAAGCAGAAGGAGACGGCGGCCCGCCCTGGAGCAGGATGAGGAGGAGGGAATGAGGACCAGTGGAAGCCCAATAATCATCAACGATGTTGGAATAAACCCTCCCTCGAAAATCCATCTTCATTGGCCCCTACAACGGTTCATTCCCACTGAGGGAACCGCCTCGCTAGAAAACAACCGTTTGAAGACCCTGAAGCATGTCAAAACAGTGCCCTTGGATTTCTGCGCCACGGATCAACCAGAGTTTTGCGTCTTGACGATCTTGAATCGTGCCAAAAAAACCATTCCTGGGACTTCAACACAGCACATCAACGTAACTGTTGTAGCCTCATAATCCTGCACCCTTCCAAAACACCACTTTTGGTGCGCGGACCACGGGAAACCCTAGAACTCGTGGAATTTCCCAGAAACGAATGCGCACGGCGCTGAAACGAGAACTGCAATTTGAAAACGAACCGCCTTCAACCCGTGAAGCTCTTGCAAATATTGGAAACGAATGTGCGCGGCGCTGGGGCGAGAACCGCATTAAAAAAACCACCCGCCCTCAATCCGTGAAGCTTTTGCAAATGTTTAAAACGAATGCCCGCGGCGCTAAGGCGAGGAACGCGTTTTGAAAACCACCCTCCCTCAATCCGTGAAGCCCTTGCAAATGTTTAAAATTAGCGTGCGCGGCATGAAAGCGAGACGCACATTTTGAAAATCACCCGCCCTCAATCCGGTGCTCAATCCGGGCACCGGTGCCCTCCATAACCAACGCTCGTGAGCTCGCCAGTGAAAGTGCCCCCCTTCGGCAGAAACGCGCAATCCGACTCGTTCGGGTCGCGGAAAAAATGCTGGCCCGAGTAGAAGAACAATGAAAGGTCCTCTAGGATATCCAGTGAGCGGTCGCGTGCCTGTCAGGCCACGCGCGGCAGGAAGTCGGGGCCAGGCGCCGACGCGCGCGCGTGCATGGGGAAGTGGCGGATCGCGGCCTCGGCCGGCGCGCCGACGTCGATGGTCTCCCCGAGCGGCACGCGCTCGTCGATGCACTGACGGATCGTGGACTCGTCGGCGCTCTTCTCGGCGAAGATGGGCTGCCAGTGGTAGCGCAGCGCGCCCACGATGGCGCGGCTCTCCCTGACGCTAGGCTGAGGCCCCTGAGGGCCTCGGACATTGACCCCCCGAAGGATCAGGCAGCGCCTCCACGGAACCCATAAAAAAGGGCGAGGCGTTGGGGGGCCCGCGGGACCTCGCGAAGCCTCTCGGGCCTGATCGCACTTGGCTGCCCTGCTGGGCGCTGGCCCGCCCGTTTTGCCAGAGAGCGCCGCCCAGCCTCGAGCTTGCGGTGCAGGTTGGCGGACAGCATGGCGAACTTGGCATTGTCGGAAAGCGAGATCGAGCCGTTCTCGATGACCAGGAACTTGGCACCCAGCTCGGTCGTCGACGGGGCGCGGCGCGCCAGCTGGATGTCTTGCCGCCAAGCCGCGCGCGAGATCGAGCGCATGGCGAGCGCCGGGCCCTCGATGCAGCCAGCGCTGCGGATATCGCCGGTGGCCCGACGAAACCAGTCATCGCGAACAAGGTGAGCAGACTCCCTCATGAGGCGCTTGTGCGCGCGCCAGCGGTCCTCAATCGGCTGGTGTCGTTAGTGGCGTCAGCGAGTTGCTGCAGGTACTCGGCGCAGCTGGGGTCGCAGGAGATCGACGGGTGGATGGCCCGCTCGAGCGGCGGCGCGCGGCGGCTTCAAGGGCAGCGAGGACTGCAGCACGGCGTGGTCGCTGAGGCGTTTGTCAGGCAAGATGGCATAACCGTGCACGACGGTGACGTTCGCGACGACCTCGTGCATGGCGTGCGACGGCATGCTGATGAAAATGAGGTCAATGGCGGACGCGCTGGAATCGGATTTGCTGAAGCGCGCGGGCACGTCGGCCTCGACTTCGAGCGCAGCGTTGAGCAGCGAATTCCAGAGCGGCTGCTGCTGACGAGCGCTGTTGTCAAGAGCGAGGCGTGCGAATTGAGGCCGCGGCTGCAGGGGGCTCCTCGGCGGGCGGCTGGCCGTGTTGAGGTCGCCGACGGCGAAGCACGCGCGGGCGCGATTGTCCTGTGCCGCCCACGCACGATGGAGATGCCACTCTCGGCAAATCCCGACACGGTCGGCGACGTCGATGTCGCGCGTGTGCAACTTCATGATGACGACGGCGTCGCGGACGACTGCGTTGGCGAAGGCGATAGTCTGGGCGCGGCCAGGGGCGAGCACGTCGCGCGAGACGAGCGGGAGCTGGCCCTCCAGTAGCTGCTGGGCCCCCATCGGCGAGAATCGCGAGGCGAGCGCGGCAAAGCCACCCGCGGCGCTGCCGGCGTCGCAGCCACGGACCTTGAACTCGGAGAAGTAGTAAAGCTTGCACGGGAACGGCTGAGTATCCGCCCGCGCGCGCAGCGACGCCTCCGCGCCGCGGACCTCCTGCAGCATGATCGCGCCAGGGCGCCCGCGGGTGGTTAGGAACGCCACTCAGCCGACTCGGTGTCCGCGAAGAGGCCCTGGGAGGCGGCGGGGGTTGCGCCGCGGTCGGCGTCGCGGAAGCGCTGGCGCTTGAATGCCTTCTCGTTCGGCTCGAGGACCGCCGGGCCAGCCTGGCCCTTGATCTCGAGGCGGCCGACGGGCAGGGCGTTGGAGCGGGTCTCGCCCTTGGCGCGGATGGCGCGCCACCGCTTGTGAGGGTACTTGTGCTGTATTAGCTGGTGGGGCTTCTTGCGCTGGACCTCCGCGCGAATCGGCCTGGCTGATTTGTCTGGGTCGATGTAGATGGGTGCGGTATATCCCGCGGCGTTCTCGGACTCGAAGCGCTTCCACGTGCCTGTGAAATCGCTAAGAGCGCGAGCGAGAGCGAGTGCCCGAGGGACAACGACTTCCCTGTTGCCTTTGACCTGGAGAGCGAAGCGCCCGGCGGGCGCGTCGCCGTGCAGTTCCACCATGTCCGACTGCAGGTCGACGGCGGCGACCCACTCCTGCAGGTCGCCGAGGAGCAAGCTGGGCGCGATGAGGCGCTAGCTTCCGGTGGAGAGGAGCGCGGCATCTGGGGCCCTGTCCCAGTCGGCAGGCCTGGAGAGGT